CATTTCTGCCTTTCAACATCCTGGTCATTTCTTTTGTCTTCAGTAGATAGAAGCGTGCCTTCTGTGTCTTCATCCTAATTAGTAATATGAATGTAGTCGGGAACTGCTTTTGTCTATAAGTGAAAGAGGCTAACAAATCAATGACTTGTATCAGGTGGAAGTTAAGTTCTTCCATCCTCAAAGTCACCTCATGTTAGAAGATGTTCACTGCAGCTCCAGCTATGATGTCTCAGTCAGGAAGAGATGGGGGGAGCAAAAAGCATGCAAGGTAGATCGGCTCCACTTTTTAACTCTCCCCAAAGCATCAGTCACAGAATCGTGTTTTGACAAGAAGGTTGTCACGCACTGCCAACTACATGCAAAGGAGACTTGGAAATGTGCTTTTTTTTTTTTAAAGCTGGGCACATTGCCACCCCCAACAAAATCAGAATTCTTTTAGGTGGAGAGGAATAAATATTGGGTAGATGAAACATGGAAGAGGCAAGAGGAACACAAAGATTTTTTTTCCCCAGAAACACTGTACTCCTCAGTACCAGGGACCTAAGCTGTGGCAATACAAGGATGTGAAGAGATGAAAGAGACAAGATTCTCGACCTTGGTCACGGTCAGTAGTTTTAATATCATTAAATTAATGTGATTAGGAGCAATCTTCTCTAAGAAGATTGGCTTATCAGGTTTGCTAATCTTCCACAGAAAGGTCTCAAGTTACTGTACTTACTCTCCTTGGAGATCAGTGCTTTTTAATTGAAGGCACTTGGCTAACCTAGTGAGTCATACTTTTAGTAACAGGGGATTGATGATCATCAATTTAGTTAATGACATTTTTAAAACTAGAATGTGGAAATTGTACTGCTTAATATTTGTCTCCTCTGCTCCCATCCTTCCCCTGAGGGCTAGGACTCTGGAGTCCACTTCTGCAAATTCCTGTTGCTCTGCACAGACAAGCAGAGCCTGCCGCAGTTCTATACCACAGCCATTCTGCCTATCTCCACTCTGACAAGAGACATTAATGTCTGAGAGAAATTTTAAGATAAAAATAAGTTAAAGATAAAAAAGCTAAAACAAGATTTTAAAAAAGACGTATATCACTTTTGTCTGGACGACACTTTTTCTTTTTTCTTTTAATAGAAAATTAAATCTCCATGGCTGGCGAAGGATCTCATACTTCACCTGTAAGTAGACGGGAATGGTGGCTTATTTGGGTAACATCCAGAACTCATTTCCCATTGCTTTCGGACAGAATTTATGGGTACAATTATAGAATTTTAAAAGATCATCTACATCTTCTCAGAATAGGAAGGCTGTTTGTTAAACTCTCTGGCACAGTGGAAACAAGATAGGTCTCTGGAAAATTCTCAGAACTCGCCACAATCACCGATGTCTTTTACAGCTGAAAGAAGATTTGCTTTGTGAGAAAAGACCCAATTTTATATTAAAGAAAGAGCTGCTGGCAGGTCTCTCCCAGAATGCCTCCCTTGGGCTTTTGTCATTAAAATTCAATTGAACGCTGACATTTTTTACCTCCACGTGCCCCATCACTGCTTTCCTTCCTCACCAGTTTTTCACAGAGTGAAACTTCCTCACAGTTTTTCACTGCAAAATGCCCTCTCATTTGTGCTGTGTCATACTAAATATACAGACAAAATAAAATGTAAACTAGGAATACACTGGCATCAATGTTTAAGGCAAGTATTACATGCATGTGATGAGATGCGATCTAGAAAGAGATGGGGCACTTTGGGGTTTTCAATTGCTTTATTTTATTTATGAAAAATTTAAGGACTTCCCTGGCGGTCCAGTGGTTAAAACTTTGCGCTTCCGCTGCAGGGGTCGCGGGTTTGATCCCTGGCCGGGGAAGAACCGCATGCCACGCAGCCAAAAAATAAAAAATATTTAAGGCATCTTTGGGAGATATAGGTAGAGATATTTTTTTAAAAAAATTAAAAACAAAAGTACATGTGAAACAACGAAAAGATTTATAAAGAAAAAGTTCATCTCTCCTCTTATTGTAACCAGTGTTGACATCCTTTCCCGTCTTTCCTCCTATTGACACAAACATTCTACACGTACACACGTGTAAAAGTTAGGATGCTTGAAGCCTGAGAAGGAAAGGCTAATACAGAAGAAGAGTCATACCTCTTTTTTCTATTATACAGGAAAGAAATTAATGAAGAACATGATTTTATTAGGACTCTTTTAGTTGCAAGGCCCAGAAACCCAATTTAAACCAGTTTAAACAAAAATAGGGAATTTATCTTCGATGTAACTAAACTGCAGAAAGGGTAGGGGTGGAGCCAGTGTCAGGGATAGCAGGATCAAAGAATTCAAACATCCTCAGGTCTTTGCCTTTTTTTCCCCTCCCCTCTAGTCTTTGCAGTTTGTCTGTCTGAAGAAAGTTGGCTTAATTTCCTTGGGAAGACTGGAACCATAGCCACTTGCATGCTTGGCATTCTTCTATCCAAGTACTTGAAAAAAAAATTCCCTCCAGCTCCAATTAGAGGAAACCCTGTGGCCAGGGGCAAAGAAAGATTCTGGGGAAGAGGGCAAGGGAAACAAAATAATTGCAAGTCAGGAATGGCTTGAGTGAAATTAGAAAGACATCTGTTTAGTGATCTGGGAAGCCTGATGTGGTGAGCAGGTAGTTTAAGGCAGACCTATGGTGATTGTTAACTCTGCTTTTACTAGCTGTGTGTCCCTGAAAAAAGTAACTGCCTTTGCAGGTCTCACTTTCTTCATCTCTAAGGTTACTGTCCGAGCACCAGAAGCTTGTAGGGGGGTCAAGTGAGGTGATGTAAATACAGGATACAGGTGTGAGATACCCCACCCCATCTTCACCTCCATGCTCCTTAATGGAAGTGGAAATTTTCTGGAGGTGGGAATTATATCTAAAGATGCACAACACAGTGTCTTGCTTCTATTAATCATTGCTCAATAAATATTTATTGATAAGAGAAAGAGTAAAGATGGCAAAATTTAACTGCCAATTTCTTTCAATCAAATGCTTTGGGTCTTCACTGACACCAAGACAGCCTCCAGAATGTTCATATAGGAAACTCATTTTGTAAATTAATTAAGCTTTAAAAAGAAAAAAATTATTCCCCTTCCTATCTAAACAACTTTATGCATGGCCTTTACCTCCATTACCTTTAAGTCTCCTCTGTATGCAAAGTGGAAAGGCAAGAATGTACCTATGCATCCAATCCTCTTGGCTTGAGCAGAGCTTGTTGTCATAACTGAGGTGAAGAGGCTGAGGTCCCCAAAGGCGTTTCGGCAGCAAATTCATCCTCAGACTGAAAAATTCCCTGATGACCATTCCAGTTCTGTGCACTAAAACCCTATGTTCTAGATTCCATGCCATGATCAGGGCTTCCAAAACCTTAAACCTGTTTAACCACCTATTACTGTAGAAAAAAATATATGTTCCTTTAAGTCCTTCCCGGTTACCTGAATTTGTGAAGGCTAGCTTTTGTGAAAACACAAACATGTTTTCATGTCACAAGGTGAAGTACAATGGATACAAGTACCTGAGTCCAGCAGTGACATGTGGTGTAAACTGGAGGAGGGGGACCACAGAGTTCACATCCTCTCTGCTGTCCAGACAGTCTTTAAAACAGATTATGACCGCTGTTGGCGGCTTGGTCTGGAGGCTACATAATGACACAAATAACCTTCGTTATGCATGAACTGTAGTGAGACATTTTATGTTAACGAGGTCAGGCTGTGGAAGACATGACATAATTTGTTTTAGTTAAAATTACATTTTTATGCACTTTTTGTTTAAAAAATCCCAGCGGAGAAGAATGATTTCTGAGCTATCTTTCTTTACTAGGCAGGGTTGCAAATCTTATTCTAAAATTGTCAGAACAAGTTTTATTTCACAGAACAATCATGCCCAGTGCAGCCAAATAACGATATCAATGACAGTCAAGTAACGCCGCAAAACCACTTCATTTTATTCTGGAGAAATGCACCTTTGTTAGAGTACTAAATCCAAGGAGAACATATCTGTGATTTTTTTTTAAATAGGAAAGTAAAAGAAAGCCATAGTTTTCAAATCAAGTGATAATAAACATGTCTTTTTCTTTTTTTTACATTTTCTTGAACTAATGTAACAGCATAGTACACATTTTACTATCTATTCTAGAAGGAGATGTGCTAGCAAATCGTAGGCAAACTATGACATATTGTATAGTACATTGTGAATTCCTGATTGTAAAAAGGTCCAACGTATGGAAATTTACAAAGTATTTCAATGTTATGTGGTTAAAGATAAGTGTTCAGTAACTATCAGGTATGCATATTCTTTTTCTGGGTCTTCCCCTTGCTCCCTACCAATGTGCTTCTCTCTGTGGGACCTGCCTTCCCTCATGACTCTAGAATGACCCTTGCAAATGTCTGCTAGTTCAGGCTTAAGTGGAATTATCTCCCAGTAACATTTGTATTTAAGTTGGAGGCCAGTAAATCATGGCTTTCTTCCCTTTCCCCTAGTCCACTTATATCCAGGGACACCTAAACTGCAAAGCGTCCTGGGCTCTGTGGAGTTTTCCCCAGGCTGAACCCCCTCACTGAATGTGCTTCTGTGTGCCCCTGGTTAGCTGCTACCCCACCCTCATCACAGGCTTTCTCTACAAAGTTTGAGTAGGGCTGAGTGAGTGGAGCGTTGGCTGCCACTTGGAATGATTGCCAGTGCCTCAATTGTTGTTTGGAGGCCATCACATTTGAAAGAAGTGTCACTTTTTATATTTTCCAGTTGATAGATCTAAGCACTTAGAAGAATGCTATTAGTTGGCTTTCTTCAGACTAAGTTGCAATTAACTATTCAAACACAACTCATGTAGGGTTCATGTGGATGAACCCTACCACCAAACAATGAGACCTCTGTCTAGTATATACAACTGAGCACATATTGAAAAATTAAATTCCTCCCAAGTGACATTAAGGCTGACACCCTTCGTTTTCCAAGGAAGCCTATGTCTACTTCAGAGGGATGCGGGTTTGCTTTAAGCCTCTTGTGTGCCACAGAGTACCTTTGTTTCCCCTCCCTGGGCTGTGCTCATGGCTGAGTCTAAGTGGTGATTCTGGAGCAAGGGAGGGGCCCCCATCTCACCATATTTAACATATCTGAGGTTGTGGCACTCACACACTGAGGACTTGAGTGTTTTAGAGTATTTTTGGAGACAGCATTTAATAAAACACTTGAGGACCAAAAAACTCAGTTCAGTGAAATTCAACACAATGCACAGGCATGAGGTAATGACCAAGAAGAGGATGAAGATAGTTTTCTCTGTGGGTTTGGAGACAAAGCAGTCCACAGTGTTGGGACAAGGCTTCAAATCACACTTCATAAAGTAGGGAACACTAAAGCCACCATAGAGCTTGTAAAATAAAACCAGGAAGCCAATTTCAAAACCAGTTTTAACAATGAGGCTGATAAGGTAAGTGTACCACAGGCCCCCATCCATGGTGCCTGGGCTGACATAGAGTTTCTTCCTGTGCCTTTTCTCTCTACCCTCACGACAGGCTACATGTAGAACCACCAGAAGTGAAGGCGTGGAGACCACAATCAGTTGTAAGGCCCAAAATCTGACCTGGGAGATGGGGAAGAAGTCGTCAAAACACACATTTTCACAACCAGGCTGTCTAACGTTGCACTCAAACTCTTTCTGCTCATCTTTCCATACATGCTCTGCCGCCACCATGTAGACCAGCAAACGGAAGATGAACGTGACAGCCAGCCAGATCCGCCCGATCCCAGTGGAGTATTTATTTACTCCACTCAGGAGGTCTCTGAGGAACGTCCAACTCATGACTTAGATTCCAAAGAAGGCAATATTCTGCAAAAGAAAACAGTTTCATCGTGATTCATTTACATCTATTCCATTGATCATTTCTACTGTCTTACTTGTAGGTTATGGAATTATGGAAGATAAACTTGACTTTTTGCATTATTACAACCCTGGATGTTCAGGGCTCTCTAAGAATCCCATAGGATATGCTCGCTTTCATACAACGAGATGACACGGCTGGTCCACAGGACGTAAATGAGCCCATGCCCATTTAATTTGGAATTTGGTTTGTCATCCCACACACGCTAGCCCATTCCCAGACAAATCCTTCTACTTTATTGCTTCTCTCTAAGGATGGTTGGGCTCTATGGCTGATCCAGAAAGAATTAGGTATGAATCCCAAGGTGACCTTGGTACCTTGAGATATCCCTCACATGCCAGCTTCTCTTTTTTTTTTAATGTTCTTTTTTAATTGAAGTATGGTAAATTTACAATATTGTGTTAGTTTCAGGTGTACAGCGAAGTGATTCCTATATATATTTATTTCAGGTTATTTTCCATTATAGGTTATTACAAGATACTGACTATAGTTCCCTGTGTTCTACAGTAAATCCTTGTTGCTAATCTATTTTATATATGGTTGTGTGTGTCTGTTAATCTCAAACCCTTAATTTATCCCTTCCCGCCCTTTTCCTTTTTGGTAACCATAAGTTTGTTTTCTATGTCTGTGAGTCTATTTCTGTGTATTAATTTTTGGATTCCACACATTGAAGTTGTAGTCTCTACTCACTTTCTCTAATTTGTCAGTGCCCGTCCCTAATCCCTAAAGGTTATTCCCTGTCCCTACCGCCTCCTGTGTCCCGTATCTCATCCCAGCTGCTTGCCTACAATTTGATAGTGAGAAGTGAGGCTCTCCACTATGAACTCCCTCAAACTCATGCTCCCTCATCCCTCCAGATCTACTTACATGGGTGCCCAACGTACCTTCTTTACCTAGTTTGGAGGGAGAGGGCTGGTCTCTTCTCACCTCAGAATGATCATTCCAGATCTAATCCCATTCTTGATCTACCCATTTCCCCTGCTCTGAATTCTGTATCTTCACCCTCCACTGCCTCCTTCCTCTCAGTGTATAAGTGTGCTGAAGTGTTGTCCATTTTTAGTGGGGGAATCTTCATAGCTTCTCTTTCTGACAACCTCTATCTTTATCCCTTATTTCTACTTCCTCAACTATTATTTACTCATCAACTCACTGAGTCTAGTTTTTCTTCTCAGCATTGCACATAACTTCAACTACCTCTCAATTACCAAGTGTTCTGGACGCTTCAAATCTCCTGTAATTTTCCTGTGGCGTTTGATACTGTTGCCTGCACTTGTGTTTTTGAAACTCTTTCAGCCTTGATTTCCATACCACTCTCCCCGCTCTTTCTGTTATTCTGATCCTCTTGATTGTACCATCTTAGTTGTCTTTGCCCAGCCCTGAACAGCTCTGTCCTCTGCTCTTTTCTCCCTCCATATGCCCTCCCTGCAAAACCTCACGCATTCCTACAGATTCAACTACTGCTTTCAGGTTCTTGTTTCTCAAATCTTAGGCTCCTCCCCAGACTTCCAGATCTCACTGCCTCCTGGCTATTATCTAAATATCCTACAGGCATCTCAAACTTGATATGTCTGTAGTTCAATGTACTATCTGCTCTGCCCTTTGATTTCCTTATGTGGTTAAACAGCATCACTAACGCCCAAGCACCCAGGTCAGAAATCTCATATTCATCCTAGAGGCCTCTCTCACGACCCTTTTAAAATTGCTCACCAAGTTCTTCTGATTCCTCCTAAATATCTCTCAAATTCACTTCCAAGTCACTGCTGAGCTCTCTCTCACCCATACAGCCCCCCCACTGCTTTCTACATCCGGTCTCAGCATCTCCTCCGTTCCCCTCCTAGTACACCCTCAATGCTGCTCAATTCTCTCGCGCCCCTCTCCGTCTCTTTTGCTCGTTACCCTACAAAAGCGGATAGGAAGCTAGGGAGCCTTCTTTTTCATCTCAGCCACATTGTCTTTCTCGGCTTCCATTTTGTCATATAACTGAACTCCATGGGCTGGGCAGTGATTTTTTTTCTTGAGCCTACAGTGTGCTCAGCCTTCTCTGTTTAGTGCTCTTTTGAGTTGGTCTCTCACAACCAGCCTGGAAAGTGGGGTTTTTGTTGGTTTGTTTATGGCGGCGGTTGTGTTGTTCTTTCAGATGAGAAAGCAGACTCTGAAAAATAAAGCCACTTCCCAAGGTCACAAAATAAGAGGCAAAGCAGGGTTCAAATCCAATTTTCGTTACTCTAAAACAGAGTTTCTCAACAGTGGCACCATTGACATTTTGGGCTGGATAATTCTTTGTGCCAGCAGCTGTCCTGTGCATTGTAGGCTGTTTAGCAGCATCCCTGGCTTCTCCCAGCTAGATGTCAGTAGCACCACCTCCCGCCCTATTTGTGACAACCGGAAATGTCTCCGGACAATTCCAAATGTACACTGGGGAGATGTAGCAAAATCTCTCCAGTTGAAACCATTGCTTTTAACTCTCTAGTACAATCAGAAGATGTGGACTGGAGCTCCCGGTCTGCCGCTAAGATACTTCGTGATTTCTCAGGTGAAAACCTTGCCATTTCAGGTCCTATCTCCTATTACAAAGATGGATTACATCTTGCCTTCTCTACAGACTCCGCCAAAGGAGCATCATGGAAATGATGATGTGAGGAGAACCAGAGGGTAAAGAAAACGGGGATATTGTGGTAGTAGCATTCCTGCCAGAGCTCGTCACATGATCTCTTCCAGAGGGAACATTATGTAACAAGCCCACATGCTAGAACCCTGAGATGTATGAAGGTTAAGAGGTATTTTCAGAGACAACAAAGACACATGTACACAATGCCCTATTCAGCAGGGAATAAATACTTCAATGTCCTTGATTTTCAGAACACAAAGAAAATTGTATTAAATAAAAAGGATTCTCAAATCCACCTGAAAGGTTAACATCTCTATGAATTATTAAAACAAAGCCCCAAAGATTCAAAAGGGGACAAAAGGGTCTTATGTTTCCCTATGACATGTGTCAATGGGCATTTGTCTATATTATTCAGGAGGATGTTTATGTAATGTTGCAAAATATTTAAAAGTACCCTGTTGGACATTTCAGAGAACGGATAAAGGTAAGAGATTTTCTTTTTTGCAAAAAGAAAAGTAGTAAGAAAGTGACTGGTGTTTGAATAGGATCAGAAGACGCCATCAAATGTGTCAGGACTATGAATTTCATCTGACTAATGTCCATCCTATTTTGAAGTTCTCTGCTGATGGAAAGGCAATGGCTTTTCTCAGGAGGGAGGGGTGTTCTAATATGAGTTCACTTTTAACAGGGGTGGTTTACCATAGCGGATAAGAGCCTGAACACAGTGTTGGACTCCTTTGGTTCAAGTCCAAGTTCATCTGTGATAATAATAGTACCTACCTCACGGGGCTCAAAACAGAGAATGACACACGGTAGGTGCTCAGTAAGCATTATCATTATAATTTTTAGTTTTTCCATTAAAAACCTTTTCTTGGTGTCAAAGTGAAGTCTTTCCAACTGCAAGGTAAGTATATATATATATATATATATATTATATATTTCCATTTAGATACCCTTTTTTAATCAATTATTTATTTTTTGTGTTTACTTATAAAT